CCTCACGGAGGAGCCCCACCACCTCACCGCCGGTGCTCAGGGACAAAGGCCGCGTGGAAGGAAAGGTCAGGGGCAGCCAACTTGCTTTAAGAGGACAGAGTCAGATTTACCCTCTTCACAGCCAGGATCAGCCTGAGAGTAACGCATCTCCAACCAAATAGAAAGAAAACAAAAGAAAACAAAATCCCTCTCCCTCTGCTTTGGTGAGTTCTAAAGCCTCTTTAACAAGGTTGGGATGGCGGGGGGAGAGGATGTTTATTTTACAGTTAGAGACTTGAATTAAGTGCATGGTTGAGTTAATACATCACTGTGACTGAATTTCAACTAAAGTCTAGTTAATTCATTAATTAGTCAACACCTATAAATGATATATTATTAATTTTTTTTCTCAGCTTTATTGCAAGGTAAGAAGGGAAAATGGGAGGCAGAGAAGCAGGAGAGACGAGGCTGCTAGGAGACCGGAAGGTGTCTGTTAGTGAGGGTGAGGGGACCATCACCACAGGCATAAGAAACAGGCTTAGCCCAGAAAAGCCTCAGGTGTCACCTAGGACTGCCCCGCCCAGTGTGCCGAGACAAGCAGAAGCAGTCACTGGAGGCTTTGGAAGAAGCTACTAAAGCAAAGAACTCTACTTGGTAGGATTTAAGGTTTTCCTTGCTGTTATCCATTTCTTAACACTAGCAATTTCACATCGAGGTGTTTCACTTACAGGCAATTCATTAAGAAATATAAGAAAAACAAGTATTTGTCATATTTATTTTCTTCTATTTCAAAGTAAAAGGCCTTAGTATAAGGACACTATACATGTCTCTCCTCAATAGTTTTTCTTTCTTTTTTAAATATACATTCTTTGGGGAAATTTTTGAGGTAAATGTAATAGAATAAAAAGCATATTTCCATACAAAACAGAAACTTCATATGCCAAACATTACATGAGGCAAATTATTGACCTGAGCCACATGGCATTTCTGAGTTTGTTCATGAAATGAATTTTAATATAGAATTTACACTAGAAAAGTTGACCTGCCCAAACTGAATTTTAAATCACTTAGTAGTATATTTGTCATTCAGCAGAGGATTATCATTCCCAGGCTACAACCAAAAGTACACTTTCTAAAAAAAAGTAGCATGTTTAAGAAATTTACAAAATAGACTTCATGTTCACCATAAGACAAAAATCACAGTGAATTACAAATAATTAATTCCATGGCTTCATTTTCCACTGCAACCAATTATTATTATTGATCTGTAGATTTTTCACTGAAGAGGAGCTTCACATCTCTAAATGAAAATTCATAGTTACTGAAGTTTCATGTTTGAAAAAACTGATTTCTTACCTGTGTAGTAAATCTCTCACTGAGAGGGCTATTTCAACCTTATGAAAGCCTTTCAAACCATTATTTCAGGGAAATCATTTTGGAGGTAAAAAACCTCTCCATTTGACAAATAGTCAATCTAAACATTTATTGATTGTATTCCAATCAATAAATAGTAACTATAGTAACTATTAAAATAGTAAACCAGAAGTATAGTAACCTCCCATAAAAATAAAAATTTAGTGGCAAAAGTCTACATCATTCAAGTAGTTTTATTTTATTACCTGTATATGTCTTGTAACTGCAGATCGAAATCTCGAAGTTTCTTTTGATATTTGTCTGTAAAGCTGCAGAACTCATTAACAACTGAAGATTCCAAATCAGGGTAGGGGCACCCCAAAGCTCCTAACTCCACGGGCAGCTCACTAAGCGGGTTTCTCCTTTCCTCTGAATAACGATCCGGTGTCTGAAATATAGATTACGTGGCTGTTTTATTTAACACCAATGACACATTAATAAGCAAATCACTATCGGCATCGCGCTTACTTTAACACTCCAGTCTGAAAGATCATTTTCTAATTGCTGCTGCTCCAGGCCAAGTCTTTCAAAGACATCTTTTAATTGTTTCTTCACAAAGTCAACCTATAGGAACATTTAGAACAGGTAGTATGCAAATTATTGCGACTGATTCAATATATATGTTTAAATCCACAGGAATTAATCTCAAAAGCCAATAAGTGATGAAAAATGAGATGAGAGAAAGTCCCCTTGAGGACCCGTGGAGAGAGGGGTCAAGAGCTGCCACAGCCAGCCCACGCGTATTAGGAGGGCTTCCAGACACACAGCTCAGCCGGACTGGGACATACAGTGGGCCCAGCCTCTCGGCACCCACATTTTGATTCTGTTTGCGGTAAGGCAGAGAGTTTACCAGACTGTCCGTTTCAATCACCCTCTCCTTCCCTTGCATCCTTGCCTCTAGTCCTCAGCTGGTCATGGGATTTTAAATGTTGTTTTTTTTTTTTAATTATTATTTATGAAAGGAATATAACAACACTACAGATAACTGAAAAACAGAGTAAGAAAAATTACCTAAAAGCCTACGTGTAGTGCAACTATGATCGTGGAGTTTACGCTCTAGTCAGGGGAGACTGTCAGTAAACTAATGAAAAATAGCTAAGGAAGTATCTGGAGGAGGTAAGGAACGTAAAAACAGGGCAAGGGAGTAGGGAGTGACTGTGGCCTCTCTCAAGTGGGAGATCAGGACAGGCCACTCAGAGGAGAGGACACTTAAGGGAAGACCTAAAGGACCAAAGGGGCCCTCAGTGACAGGAAACAGCCAGTGCAAAGGCCCTGAGGCAGGAAGGAGCCTGGTATGTGTGAGGAGGAACAGAAAGGAGGCCAGGCAGGGTCTAAGAGGAAGAGGGGTGTCAGGCAGGAGATGAGACTGAAGAAACAGAGAGGGGCGTGGTGTGGGCCAGGAGGAGCCCTGAGGGGACTTACTGGGGGATGACTTGATCTTTCTGCACTGAAGGTAGAACCCAGAATGCAATGGAGAAGGGGCAAAAATCCGAGGCACGAGATGAACAAGCTTGGACAGATTCGAGGATGTTTAAGACACTGAATAGACAGAATTTGCTATACCTTCTACTAAAATACACAAGATACCCATGTTGGTTCTTTATCTCAAACTGTTCTAGTTGGGACAAAAATGAAATATTACATTACTAAAAGCAAAGGTAATATACTGACCTCTTCCAGTACCTTCACTGAGTTAAGCTCCGTATGTGAGTGTGAATGCTGTGGAATGTGATGCTGTCTGTATTTTAGGTCTGCTATCAATTGCTGAGTAGGATTTATCACATTTTTAAGATACATGCACCATTGTTCTGATAACTCTTGTTCTACGGTGAAACAAAATTAAATCAAGGTAATTTAATTTAAGTTTTTTCAAGAACAAGTTCTTGGAATGCAGGTTTATTTTTGGATTCCTTTAGAAAAAAAACAACAGCAGTTAATATTGAAAGAACATGAAGTGAGTGGCCCACTTTCATCATCAAAACACCCTTTTAAATATAAGATTAAAAAAAAATCTCACCAAAATTCAGAAGTTCAGAAAGACATTCATTTCCAATGTTCTCTTCATTGAGAAAACATTTTATTTCAGATTCCATTCTACACCTGAAATAGACATTATCTCAGTTTTTTTATAACCACAAACAAATACCAGTTTAAAAAATAACTACTAGCAGAAATTTAATCTAATGTGGTTTTATTCACCGGTTTATTTATTCAGACCATATACTGAAACTCCTAACATGAATTGGGTACTTGCCAGACATGATTAGTGAACATCTGGTCCTATCCAAAATATACATGGAGACATTTGGTCCATGGCAAAAGATCCTTGAAATTTGGTCCTGTCCAAAACATCTATGAGCATATTTGGTCCTTGCCAAATGGTCCTTGGTTCTGTCAAAAATGTCCATGCTTATGAAATGTCCCTGGGTTCAGGTAGCCCATAATGTTTATTTCTACTTTTGGTTTATAGGATTAATACATAAAAAAAGCACTACCATGTTTTATTGGTCCAATATTTGTGCTGTGGCTGTATTGCCACAGTAGCCTACCTGGTAATGGCAAATGGGGTTAGGGAGGCAGTTCTATGTTGGAATCTTGCAGAAGAGCAGAATTTACACTAACTATGCACCCTTTGGACAGCCCAGATATCAGGGGGTGGACCAAATGTCTCTGTGCGTTTCGGACAAGACCAAACAATCTGCAAGGGAAAGAAGCATAAATGAACACTCTGGGCAGAAGTAACAGCAAGAGCAAAGGGGAGCATGTGGCATGTGCCAGCCCTGCTTCTATAGAGAGCTCCGGGCACTGGGCAGCCGGGGAGGGATGTCAGGCTCACCTCGCCTGCCCAGCAGTCTGCTTCAGAAAGATTCCTAAGGCAACAGGAAGGGCAGGCTGCAAAGAGGGATGAGCAATAAAAACGAAAAATGAACAGGAGCAGGCACCAGGCAAATCTGGACCAACAAGGAGGTTATTTTATTTTAAAAGTTAAGAGACCCGGCTGGGCGTGGCTCAGCGGTTGAGCGGCGACCCAGGATCCAGGCGATTGGGGTTCGATTCCCGGTCCGGGCACATGCCCGGGTTGCGGGCTCGATCAATGACTCTCTCTCATTGATGTTTCCATCTCTCTCTCTCCCTCTCATTTCCTCTTTATGAAATCTATAAAGATATATTTAAAAAACAAAAATAAAAAAAATAAAAGTTAAGAGAAGATGAGCTCCCAAACTAGGGAAATAAGGGTAAAAGTACATTTTATTTTTATACACTAATAAAAGTAATAAATCTTAATAACCTTTTACTATATTATTTAAATATAGTCATTTTTAGAGTAAAAACATAATCAACTCTAAATGAACATTCAGAAATATTGTAGTCTATCCCTTGCTTATGGCAGACTTATTGAAATTATAGAAAAGAGTTTTGATTTATTATGATTATAAAAATACAATGTTAAAATGGCATAAAATTAAAAATAGGAACAATCATGCTAATACAATAATTATTTTTATTTTTGCATATGTTTCTAGCTGTTGTCTACATGCATATATATTTTAAATAGTTGTAATTATGGCATATTTACCATTTTATATTGAGGTTTTCTGAATAATATTTTAAAGATATTTTTAAATACTTTTCATAGATATAATTGATTTTAGTGACTGAACACATTGAAATTATCTATGAATAATTTTCACAGGTATCATTTATTTTAATGGCAGAACACATATTTCTTTCTAGAATAGCACAGAAATTTTTCTTGGAATTCTTTTTGTCCAGTTTTCAGCCTTTGGAAGTTTTAAGACATTAAGGTTATTATTACTTGTATGCCCCTCACTTCCATCACCTTTGTGTCATGCCAAGTCAACAAACGGAAGTATTTTCCACGCTGACATGTATATGCCTCTTCGTCTAGCTCAAGGACAACACATTCAGAAGAATATGAAATAGCCAAGATTAAAAGCTTTCACCAGGGTCTTCCTTTATATTTGAGCCTGCTTCAGTGAGCACCATAATTAAAACATGATGGCTTTCTTTTTTGTCCTGTTTCAAGTTATACAAATTTACAAAAAATTTATTCTAATGAGCCCAAACTTTCTTTCCAGAAAAGGTGGCTTTTTGAAGGATAAGTCTTATGTGATAGCAGCGGTATAATGACAAAGTCTATATAATTTTGTTTTTCTGTGTTTTAAATTATAGAATGATGTAAAACCATTTCTATGCATGAGACTTTTACTTCACATGTAGGAATCTCTTGCCAAAATAAGAAACTCCTATTAACAAGAAAAGCAAAAAAAAAATAAAGTTAATGGACCCTGGCCAAGTGGCTCAGTTGGCTGGAATATTGTCCTGTACACACACACACACACACACACACACACACGTTGTGGGTTTGATCCCTGGTTAGGGCGCATACAGGAAGCAACTGATCAATGTTTCTCTCTCCCTTCCTCTCTCTCTAAAAAAATCAATAAAAATATATACTTGGGTGAAGATTTTTTAAAAAGTTAAGTTAATGGTATTTGGAAATTTGACTTAAAATTTATCTATTTTGATATAAAATACATACTGCAAAATATACATTTTAAAAAGCATACTTTACAAATACCACCATCCTTTAAACTAGTATATATGCCTCAATTGGAAGGAAAACACATCTGCTTTCTCTTTTTGCCTTAACCTTTGAGAAGAAATTTATTTTTCAAAGATTACAATTAAGATCAAGTATAGAATCATTATTTTGATTTAATTCATCTTGAAGTGAATGCTGGAAATAATAACAAAAGTCAAAAGTCCAAGTTGAATAAATTAGTCATGATGCTGCTCCATCCAGAAATCCCTGAGCAACTTGAGCCCCTGAGTTCCTTTATTTACTGAAAGCACTTGTATGTCACCTGCTATGAATCCTACAATGAAAGCAATAGAATCTGATGGGATGCTTGCCACACTCACCATTTTATAGGGAAGACAAACAGGTAAACAAAATACTGTAATCCAATGTGCTAGGTATAATGTAAGTAATTACAAGTATAAGTGGGAGTGCAAAAGAGTAAGTGATTAGCCGATAATCTTTTTTCCTAAGGAAAGCAAAAGCCATTTTAATATAGTCACTGAATTCCAAATTAAATTGAGGAAATGAAATAATTTTAATTTGACTCACATTCAAACTGTAATTTTCAATTTTTATTATAATAGTTTAATTAACATGGAAAGTTATAGAACATCTAACTCAATAAGTGCGAGTCTTAGTGATTCCTCCGTGTACTTACCGAGATTTCCTTCAGTCCTTACCTGACTTCAGTTAGCCTGCGGTGCTCCTGCCACCACACTTGCCTGTGTTGCTTTATTAGTGTTTGTTCCTTAGATGTCTTTGAAGTCTGCATTGCTTTTCTGATCTGGATTTAGAGGAACATAATATGAGCCATTTCAATGTTTCTTAAAATGTGTTTTCCACAACGGAAACATTTAATCTGTATTTCCTAAATTACTTACTCTTTTTCAATCTTATTAGTGCATTTTCTAACACAAAATCCACCTTAAAATAAGCACTATGTTAAACAAAAAGCAAGGAGGTGAAAGAGAAAATGGTTTGGAATGCTGACCAATTTAAGAACTGTTTTTAAAGCATTTATGAAAAGAAAGATGAAGTGATTCTATTTTCCATACATACAATAAATAACACCTGAATTCATACAGTCCCAGAACATTTTCTATATATTTTCTCACCTTTTGACATATCTTCCCTGCCAGGCTTCATGAACATCATTAGTCCCATTTTACGGATGAAGAAACTGATGTTCAGAGAAGTTAAAAGACTTGGTCAAGATCACAAAGCTCATAAACATCAGAATCACACAGAACCTTGGTGTATGAATTGGTTTTTATCTGATCCTTCAGCATAGGATGGAAAAAGTCATTGATAAGTTGTTAGGAGGTCTGGCTGTATGACTTTGAACATGCAATTTAACCTTTCAACTCCATGACTTTGTTAATAATTTTTTTAATAGTTATTTGAAGATACTTAAAGAGATTGTAAAAAATATATATATGTACATCAAAACCCAAATTTTTAAAATTGAAATTTTCCCCAATAACACATGACTTTTAAAAAAGTAGCATATAATTAACACTTTGGGGTTTCTGTTGACATGTTCTGTCAGGCCTGGGTTTGTTTGTCTTAAGATCATTCTTGGCCATCTCCCTGATCTGCTCCACATCACAGGGCAGCCTGTGTTTCTCAGACACTCCTGTCAGCTGGCTTTCGGTTGGGTTAAACCAAAGGGAGACACTGACAGTGGGAGACTGAAGGGGAGGAGGAAAGGAGAAGTCAAAGCATCACTCTCCCTACACTCTACTCTCACAGGGGTCTCTAGGAGCATATGCATCTTTTCCATTTGCTCCAACTTTTCTTGACAGTTTTACTATGGCTCCAACTATCTCTGGGTAACCTCCACTCTTGAGATGTGGTGCAGCCTTGCTTTTTTATTGAATTTATTGGGGTGACACTGGTTCACATGTCCCTTTGACTTAGGCATGGCATGACTTCCTGCTGTGTTAATCCCTCTATTGCTTTATAGTCCTGTTTGGCTTCTCACCTCTATCACCTGGATAACCATTTCCTGAATTCAAGACCCCTCTATTCATTAAAAACCTCCTCCAGTGGTGTCTGTTTCCAGGTTAGACTCTGACTGATACTCATGTGTACGCTGAACTCGTGTATTCCATATTAATACTTTTAAACATCTACAAAGTGCTACTCAAATCAGGAACTTGATGAAATATGCATATTTTATATTTTCTCTGCTACTAGAATACTTAGTAGCCTGAAAGTTTTAACAGATCAATACTGAAGATATAAAAACTTCAGAAGGCAAGTCCTAAAAGGACTTTTTAATGCATGCTATTTCTAGCTGTCATTCACTGATTACTTTAACCTTGACTTTATCTTTCTGCTATTCTGGTTACTGATTCAAAATTAGGCTATAAGAAAACAAAGTAACCCAAACATTACTTAAAACACACACAAAGTCAAATCTTTTCTTCAGAAGGTCTTAAGAGTGCTACAATCATGAAATTTAGAAGTACATTCAAATAAGAACAGGACACTGCCAGAATATACTCAGAATCTTTATTTTACCTACAAAAATTAAAAGTACATAGTGTTTCTAAAAACTGACACTCTAGTGTTTGCTTTAAGAACACCTAAATTCAATCCAACTATTTGTCATCTATAGTCTCTAAAGTTTGTTGCAGCAGACACAACTTTTAAAATTAGGTTTCTTTGACATATTTGGTCCATGTTGTACAAAAAAATTAAAACACATCGGTGAGAGATGTAGACACATTTTTATAGCTTAAAAAAATCAATGCTGCTGCCTTTGGGCCTAGGGAAAAACCAATTAAGTAGACTATAAAAGTCAAAATAAAGTTACTATTTTTCACTAGACACTTCCAATATTTTGCAGAACATCCTAATTTTTTTTTGGTAAATTCATTCATTGACTTCACTTCTACCCTCAGGCCAAAAAAAAAAAAAGAAGAAGAAGAAGAAAAATGAAGTCTTCAAAAACCAAAAAGTTTTAAAGTTGTATCTTTATCAATATAGAAATTTCTAGGTTATTCCAATTCATGTTGCTGGGAAATGAGCCATATGAAATCAATATATAAGGTGGACGATGATTTATGCAAAATACTGATGAATTTAAAATAACAAAACAATAAATTCAAAAAAGAATCAGAAACTAGGGTTCCTTATGTGCTTTATTGTGATGTTCCAAGATAATAAAACTTAAACAGGCACCTGGAAATGCCTTTAAAAGCCCTTTGGGCCCGATGATTCCATCTTTAGATATAAACAATAATGACTAGTGGACTGTTTAAGTGTTGGTAACATGTGTGTACATATTTGTCAAAATTCATTGAGATGTACATTTAAGATTTGTTTGCTTTACTATATGTGAGTTATCCCTCAATAAAGAATTGTTAAATAAATCAAAAGACAAAACAACTACATACACTAAGTTGCAATTTCTCATCTATCAGGTTGGCAAAAATGCAGATGTTTAACAAAACGCTCTTTGAGGCTATGGGAAAACATGCTCTCTCTTAAGTTGCTAATGGAAATACAAAAGGATGCTCCTCCTCCCCTTCCTGAAGGGAATTTGGAGATGTATAGCAAAATTTCATATGGGTTTTCCTTTATTTATAGAAACCTACCTGAAAAGTATCTTAGTAAGAGCATGAATAGATAAATGAACAAAGCTATTCATCCACTGAAGCACTATTTGTAAGGGAAAGACTGGAGCACAAAAATTCCATCAATAAGTATTCTTGCCAAAATAAATTGAACCTGAATCTGATCACGTCTCTAGATATATCAATTTACTGGAAATATAAGAGACAGAAAAACATGTTAAATGACACCACCAGGATGTTATCAGCAAAATCCAGACTGTAAGAAACTATAAAAGACAAACAATAAAATTTCTTCAAGAAATAAATTACAAGAACACAAGAGGAGAGAGGAGAAAAAATAAAAATAAATTGTAATATATGAATCTTATTTAGATATTGATTTAAATAAACTTTAAGAGAAAAATGGAGAAAATCAGGGAAATTTAACATTGACTGGATATTTGAAATTATTCAGAATTTTTTAACATTTTTAATGGTAATGTTATTGGAGGATTTGTGTTTTTTCCCCCTCTAATTTTTTAGAGATACATGCTCAAATATTTATGGTTAGGTATTATGATGTCTGAGATTTGCCTCAAGATAATCTTTCACGAGGGGAAATTGTGTGTGGGAGTATAGAAGAAACAACGGCTAGGAGGTGATCGTAGTTGAAGCTGGACAATGTTACATGGAAATTAATGATACATTCACCCTCATTTTACATATGCTGACAATTTTCCATAATATAACATTTATAAAAAAGAAATAGTAGATGGATACTTGAGTTGAAAGAATAAATATTCATTCTTTCTAAGCAAAGAAATTCAAATAAAAATAATCATAAAGATTTCTTTTATACTTAAAATGGGAATGAACAGTTAACATGTAATGTCTCAAAAACTAGTCACAGTTTTCAGCCTGAATCTACTATTTGGCTTCAGGTTCAATGCTAGCCTTTGAAAGACTAGATCACTCAGTGTTACATCAGTGTCTTGTCTGGCATCCTAGAACTGTGCATGATCTCTAACAGGGATTATTATGCAGGTGACCATCACATGTAATCAGTATAACAATACCAGTAATACAATTCAGGCGAGTCTTCTGAATTTATTGTTAATTAACAATAATTTTTGTTGATTTTTTAAAAATAGTTAAGTATTCTAGATGTAACTTAAAGCAAAAATCTACTTATGTGCTTTAAATGTTAACATTCTATCATTCACTTTTAAGTATGTTTACATTTAATATTGCCAGAGTAAAGTGCTGTGATAATTAACAATGATTGTTAAAGCTGCTAATTTCATGTGCAGAAAAATGAGCACATTTAATTAGGAAAATAGACTGATAATGCAAATACTTGCTGGGGATGGGAGAGGAAGGTGGAGGAAGATATGGGGGGATAAGTGGTGATGGATGTAAACTTGATTTGGGGTGGTGAACACACAATACAGTGTACAGGTGATGTGTTGTAGAATTGTGCACCTGAAACCTGTATAATTTTGTTTACCAGTGTCATCCCTATAAACCCAATAAAAAGGGGGGAAAAAGAATGTGTTAACTATGTAATTTTTAGAAGAATAAAACAGTTTTCCTGAGTCAACATATATTTTATAAAAATTCAAATATAAGAAAGAATAACAGAGATGATATTATATTCATAATTCTAGTTAGTATAGACTATTTGGCATATTAGCATTCATAATATTAAACAAAATAAACTTTTAGAATTGTATTTAACTTCCAGTTCTCTAATTCCATTTAAACCCTGAGTCTTTCAAGAAAAAGTTGTAGTTGGGTATTGTCCCTATCTAACAAAAGTAAATTAAAAGCAAAATGTCAACTTGCTATCTCTAAATTAAGTGAAAAGGGAAGACTCCACAAAGCACATAGACCCACATTCCCAATATATCTTCCTTAATCCAGATATAACAAATGAAAACTGTATTTTTAAAAAAGTGAGAAAAGTAATCTAGCAGCTGACCATGCTGACAAATGATTGCCCCTGCACTTAATATCGAATTTTAAAAACCTCATTAACTCTTAAAATTTTAAATATTTTTATTCTTTAATAGTGATTCTATAATCAAAGTGAAATTCACTTTGTTCAAATACTGATTTTAACACCCAAACATTCCACATTCAGCCTAAATGTTATTTTTTGGTGCATGATGAATGAATGGCTAGACAGACGGATGGACGGACGGATGAAAAGATGGACAAAATAAATATATTGATAATATTAGAAATATGTATATGTATATGTATGGACATATTCCAATACCGACAATGGTATAGAGAAAATGTTTGCGGCAACATCTTTATTAGAACAATACTTTGGGAAAGAGCTAAAAAACATTCATACTTTTTTTGCTCACACATTCCANAAAAGATGGACAAAATAAATATATTGTTAATATTAGAAATATGTATATGTATATGTATGGACATATTCCAATACCGACAATGGTATAGAGAAAATGTTTGCGGCAACATCTTTATTAGAACAATACTTTGGGAAAGAGCTAAAAAACATTCATACTTTTTTTGCTCACACATTCCAATCATAGGAATTTATCCTTTGGGGTAGAGGATTCTAAAAAGGTGTCCATGCATGGAGACATTTACTGAAGCATAATTTCCAATATCATAAAACTGGATATGATCCAAATATCCCCAAAAAGGAAATGTGATAAGGCATGCATCTTTTTCTATTTGGAGTACTCATCAATTCTGTCTTTGCTCAATTCATTTTTGTTAGCCTTAATATCCCAATTCCAATGTCAGTTCCTCAGAAAAGCTTTCCCCCGCAATGAGAATCAAGTCCTATTATTGTACATCAGACAGTATGTTTTTATTGGAGTTTATACTTAATATAACTTTATTCCCTCTCCCTCTTTTCCTTCTCCTGAAAATAGTACATTTCATGAAATAGGAGCTATGTTGTGTTCACCATTGTATCTTTGAGACACATGATAAATATTTATTTACTTAAGTAATTAAATATCATAAAATAATTAAATATTATCAAATGTTAGGAGGAAAACTATACAGGGTTTCATGTCTATGTTTATCATGGAAAAAATCAAATATTTATGAATATGTTTATGTATGTATGTATGTGTATATGTTATATATACACAAGGGATCAGAATAGAAGTCAGAAATATGAAAATAGTTTTATTAGGATGAGAGCTATGTAAGTGATTTTCCCATAAAATTTCTTTGAATGTCCTGATAACATTAAATTATCTTAAAGTTATATCTGAACCAAACAAATAATGCTCTACTTTTTAAGTGGTCATAGTTAGAGAGCATATAACTCATGGATATATGATAATTCCTTTAGAATACAGTATCAACTGTACTTGGGATTCATAACAGTTGCCTTTTTAAAAGGTCTTAATAATAAAAAGCCATGAAAAACTAACGTGACACAAAAATATTAAATACAAATGAAAACTTGTGAATTACTTAATATGCTGCTTTGCCAAACCAGATTTTTGATGCAACCAAGCAATTTATAATGCAATGCTATTTATGATGTACTCCATTATTTTACACAAGAGGGAAACATATTGCATAGTAATCCTAAACCACACATTGTCCTAAAATACTGTGCACAATCACTTGCACATAAACTCCTTTCAAATCCAGTCTGGATTCACCTTTTCTTAGGTCAGGGTGAAAAAGGGAACTCTAGAACAGAAGCACCTGGGAGCATATTTGAATAGTGTTGCAGAAGGAGCCTTAAATCAGATGATAATCCATGGCTGGCATTTACTCGCAATTTTTATTTTTCAGATTAAGTTAGAAATTCTTGAAAGCTAATGAAATAGCAATCTTTGTAAAAAATAGAGTTGAATTCAGACCTCATAAGTTGTTATGAACATTAAGTGAGTAATGAATGTAAACCGCATAGCACAGTGTCTGAGAGTATCCATAAATGTTAGCTGCTATTCACTATTATTAATAGTGAGAAGAGTCTAAAAACCATTTAGAATGTTATTTATTTTCACATTTACATTTAAATACTTAACTTCCTAGCAATTCAATTTTATAAAACTAGAAAGTACACACACATGCAACTTCTAACCTTTAGCTCTGTAGAGGCAGCCGCTAATTTTTTTGCTTCAGTTAATGCATGCAATTGTTGATAGTCTACTGGTTTATACTTAATGCTTCTCATTCCATTTTTCATACAGAATACAGGATTATCTGTTTTTAATCCAAAAATTAAAATGACAGAGAAATACTATGTTATTGGAAGTCAAAATATAGTTATAGCAGCATGCTGACTACAGGTCTTATTTTTAAGTAAATACAAGAAATAATATAACATTCATAGTGTATTTGAATCTATATCTATAGGAACTTAAAAAATATTACTTGCATAAAACCGAGGTACCACTGTATTTGCCAATGATACATCTGATGAGGGGTTAACATCCAAGATTTATAAAGAACTTACAAAACTGAACAAGAAAAAAACAATCCAATTAAAAGACAGGCAAAGGACCTGAAGAGACATTTCTCCAAGGAGGACATACAGATGGCCAAGAGACATATGAAAAAATGCTCGTCACTAATCATCAGAGAGATGCAAATTAAAACTGCAATGAGGTATCATCTCACACATGTCAGAATGGCTGCCATCAATAAATCAACAAACAACAAGTGGTGGCAAGGATGGGGAGAAAAGGGAACCCTAGTACATTGCTAGCAGGAATGCAAACTAGTAAAACCACTGTGGAAAAAAGAATAGAGTTTCCTACAAAAATTAAAAATGGAACTGCCTCTTGAATCAGCAATACCACTTCTGGGAATATATCCTAAGAAACCTGAAACAACAATCAGAAAGAATATATGCACCCCTATGTTCATAGCAGTGTTATTTACAATAGCTAAGATCTGAAAACAGCCCAAGTGCCCATCAGTAGATGAGTGGATAAAAAAGCTGTGGTACATTTACAAAATGGAATACTATGCAGCTGTAAAAAAGAGGTAACTCTTGTCGATCTGGAGTGGCTCAGTGGTTGTGTGTCAACCCATGAAGCTGGAGGTCATGGTTCGATTCCCAGTCAGGGCACATGCCCAGGTTTTGGCTCGATCCCCAGTAGGGGGCATGTAGGAGGCAGCAGATCTATGATGATTCTCTCTTATCATCGATGTTTCTATCTATCTCTTCCTCTCCCATGGACCTGGAGATTATTATACTAATCAAAATAAGCCAGTCAAAGAAAGACAAATTTCACATGATCGCACTTACATGTGGAATCTGATGAAAACAATAAACTGATGGACCCAGGCAGCACATGGATACATTGAACAGACTGACAGATCTCAGGGAGGGAATGTGTGTGGCAGGGAGGACTAGAAGAGATTAAACAAAGAACATATATGCATATATGCATAGCCCATGGACACAGAAAATAGCGTAGTGAAAGCCTGGGGTGGGATGGAGTTTGGGTGAAGGGGGGCCAAGGAGGGGAAAGTTGGGGACATCTGTAATATTATCAACAATAAAAAAAAATTTAAAAACACCCACTGTAAGGGAACAAAAGAAACCTTCCATTTAACCTCCAAAATGAGCTTTCCATGATTAAAATCAACATTCCAATTTTATATCATGCATAACCCACCATAAATCATAAAACAAACTTGGAAGTAAAAAAAAGAATACCTGAGCTATCATTTTTCTGAATTGTCATGAATGGTCGGTCTCTTTTATCCATGTTTTCCATATCTGTCAAGGAAACAAGAGAAAACTAAATTTTACAATGTGATTTTTAAAACATTTTTAAAGATGTATTAATTGTAGTGATTTTTAAAATAAAGCCCAGGACTAGGTGCCATAACTCTTTGTACTTTATTAAAATTTTCTTCTCTTTGCTTCTAGTTTTCTTCCATTAGATTTTCCCCTTTGTGCCTTTCCTGTTTTTGGTCTCCCCAATCTCTAACCTCTTAATTCCCCTCTCTTGGATTGTACCAGTGACTGACAAATATTTTGTGATTAAATATCTAGCACCCCAAATTCTGCCTCAGCATCTCCTTCCTGAGAACCCACTAAACTTAACTGAGCACCTCTAGGGCATCAGGCTAGTCAAGTGGTTCTTTAAATAACACTACTCATTTCTCACAAATTTTTGTTCCATATCCACTAGGTTGCACTGTAACCCACCTCTCTATACTTTTAATATTGTTTCTCTTAAAAGTATTTTTGTTAAAGATGAGTTGTTAACTAATATGTAACCCGTGAACAAGCAGCATATTTGCGTAAAGAGTTCCAGGAACTAGTTTCAAGGGAGGAAGTTGACTCCAGCAACCCGACATTCTGGCTCCAGGGGACTTGCTTCTCTCAACCATAAAAACCGGACATGTGCTTGACCAGTTTTGAGATAATCACTGGAATGGACTGTGCTGACTTACACAAAGAGAACTTTCAACCTCCTCCCCATGATTTCTTTGTTCTGTTTTCCATCTCCCTCCTAATAAAAATCCCTGCCTGAACTGAGATGTTAAGATGGTCTTTGGGATGGGAGTTCGCCATCCTCTCAGGCTGCCAGCGCTTGAATAAACCATCTTTCCTTACACCACCACCTGTCTTTCGCAGCAGCAGGCAGCCAAACCTGAGTTCAGAATCAGAACTTCCCATGTCTAGTGGCCTTTGCAGTAACCTAAGTCTTCTTAGATGGAAAGAAAAGTAGCACAAGTCCATGAATTTTGGAAACTCTGCCACATTACCAAGAATCATGGTGATCACCCACCAACTTTAGGGATGTAGGGATAAACTCCAGTGTGTAATTTCTATAGAGTCTCTGGTCAAGGAATTCTTTTTTTAAGCCTTTAGTAACACTGACAATTTGCCCTATAGTCTCATTTCTACTCACACCCACATCCTATCCATTAAGATTCTTCTTCCTTTTGGAAGGTGTTGCACATCTGATCTGTTCACCTACACTACCTCAAGCCACCATCACCTCCAGCCAGGATGGCAGCAGCAGTTTCACTTTGTGCCTTACAGCCCATTCTCCACACAGCAGCCCAAGTAACCACTTAACATTCTAATCTGGTCTTGCTTCAATGGTTTCTCCTTACCCTTTAGACTAGTATCCAAACGTCTTTAAATGGCCGATAAGGCCCTTCATAACCTTGCCCTTAGTCATCTCGCCACCCTTATCTCATTCATACATTCCAACCACATTGGTCTTTCTATTTCTCAACTATACTAAGTTCATTCTGCCTCAGGGCCTTCCCACTTGCTGTCCCCTCTGCCTTAAATACATTTCCTTCTTCTTTTACCTGGCTGGTTCTTACTCAGCCTTCAGTGTGAGCAACATGTCACCACCTCAGAGAGACCTAAAGAGACTCCTCCACCTAAAAAGGGAGGACCCATATTTCTCTCTCATCCTATTCTTTTATTCTCATAATAATGTGTATTAGTCTTCACATTTGCATGTTTACTATCTCTCTCCAAAGACATGTGGCCCATGTTTGCCTTATTTCTGATTATATCCCCAGTGCCTAGCACACAATAGTAAATGCTCAATATCATTTGAGGAAAAAGTAGCCAGTGGTAGCTGGATGGCCTCTAGTCCCTCGAAGAACTGAAATAACAATTCCTAAGTCCATACTATAGCTTCCCTCTACCAACAACAACCTTTCAATTTTTAAAATTTTGCTTTGATAACACAACCTACAGACAAGAATGGCAAATTTAAATGTCCTCAGGGGCCATCAGGTAAGTTAAATGAGGGAAGTGACAAGGTATACAACCACAGGGAGTGGCAGAAAACATGGAAAATGAAAGAGCATTTCATACCTAATCAAAAAAATTTTTTTCTTTTACAAAACACAAGTACTAGACAAATAAAGCAAGTCTCCAAAACAAATTTATGCTGCTCTCAGCATTCAGCTCGTGAGGTCTGGCCTACAGCAATTCACCTCTTGTTTTCATTTCATTTTCCCACCCATAATTTAACTACCCAATTTTGTCATCTCCATCCAGGAGAGACCACACTAGTACTCTGATTGATTAGTTTTAGTCTTTCCTCAATGGGAAGCCTAACCTCTTTATATTTAGGACTCATTTTTCTTGGGATTTAGATTGCAAGATTGAGGCTCTGAAACAAAATGGGGTCTTGCAAGTTCCCTTTTGGTTACCCTAAGTCTAATTCTGTTTAATTTCTTTTTCCTGGTTTTCAGAGGAAAATTATGAAGCCCACACAATGTTTCTCACCATTTCTACATAATTCAAATGTTAATTATGACCATAGAACTTTATGAGATAGGGTATATGGCAAAACAGCTACATTTCTAAACATCTGAAAAATTCAAAATACATCTGGCGCCACATACTACACATAAGGGATGTGAAACTGTATTAAAACATTCTGTTTCCCTAATAAGTGTATGTCATCTAGGTCATTTCAATTTTATGCTTACTAGTGAGAAATTCAAAGTGGCTACTTCAGCCTGTAGTTTAAATGCTTTTGGCTGAGTAATGGCTACTTGAACAGAATTTTCCATGCTAAATAATTTAAGAGCACTTAGTTTCAGAAATTATTCCATGTTCACATTGTGTGACACTTTAGAAATGCTTATGAGTGTTATTAAAATGTTAAGCCTTTACATATACTCAATTACTGAAAATATTTTAAAATAATATATTTTTATGAGAAATTTCTCATAGTGTCGGAAGAACATTTGATTCCTAATTTAATGATAGCTTTGTAGTAGCTAGAGGGTTGAAAAACACATTTTAATATAAAGTTACTTTTTACAAATTTACTAGAGAATCTAAACTTTAAAAAAGTACATGACCTCAACTAGTCTCTTTGGAGTAGATAAGCGATCAGGACTTCGATAGAGATGAGGGGGGAAAAATTGCAAAGAGATCATTTATATAATGGGGTAATCTTTTTACAGTATTAAAATCTGCATTCTTCTCTTTCCTAAGAAAATCTCTTTTAATACACTGAGGAAGAAAAGGTCAGTTGTACTTAGGCTTAAAATTGTATAACATGTGGTTAGTTTGTTACCTCTAAACTGCTTAACTGTGTAGATATATAGATTAGCCAATCACCCTCTAAGGATGTTTTCAAAGCTGATAGGGATTCTCCCAGGCCAACAGTGTGAGAACAATACAATCTGTAGAAATAGTTTGGATGTAGCATCAAAATTATAACTTTTTCATATGAAAAAATATCAAGACATTTTAAATGTTAGTTCAAATATTATAGCCAAAGTCTAACTTAAGCAGTATTTTTCCAAATGCAGAATTCTCTTTTAGATTTTAAGCAGAATAGCACACATTATTTTCATTATGAGATATTATGCATTATAGTTAGCAGAAGGTAAAATGATTGTCCTGGAAAAATTAATGGAACCAAACTGCATAGAAAACTGTAAGATAAAAATTACAATTTCCAGCCATATTTAGCCCTAAAGCCCCAGTTGTATTGTAACTGAACGGAAACACTATTTCTTGAACATGACTCTTTCTCCCTTGTGTTTGTTTTCTCCCTCCTCACTTAATCATTAGGCCCTTAGGACATCAGCTTCTGGTCAACATCAAACTGTCTTAAGAACAAAGGCCTCAGGCTTGTTGACCACAGAGACAGTTTTGGTAGAGTTAAAGATAACATCTTGAGGCACCCACCAAGCAATCAGTGGAGACCACAACCTTGAAGGGACACACCTGGAAAGCTGCTGAATGTTATAAGATCTTCCCCTGGGATCTCCCCTAAAATCTCCTCCCTTAAAACCTTTAAGACAAAGGACCCAGTGCGCTCTCCCTCCCAGAGCTGAACTTCTCCCTTCCCCCTTTCCCCTTTCCCCTTCCTCCCTTCCCCCTTCCCCCTTTACCTACCTTTCTCTCACCCTACCCCCAACCCCAGGCATTAGCTTCCTCACTCCCAAGCTCCAAGGGCCCTTCCTTTGCCTCTATAACTTATTTCCCAAGCCCATTTCTTCTAGGAAGTACTTTTTCTACCTCTGTGATTTAGCAAATAAGTGTTCTCGTATAGTTTGGGTCTTGGCTCTGAATTCTTCCTAGCCAGAACTCAAGCACGGAGGTTGCTGAACCCAAGTCCGGTTTGACCCCACAGGACTAACACCCAGTGCCGTTCCCACCACCACCAACAAAGGTGGCTTCCTAAAAAGTGTGGTTGCCACACTTTAGGAAGAAGGTTGACAAAGTCTTCAGGATAAGCATGCCCCAAATGGCAAGTTAAGTAAGAAGGGTACACATTCACACACACTCTACAAAGGAAAACAGTCTAAAGGATATATAGACTAAATTGGAGAGGATACTGCAACTGGAGGTTAGGTTCAAAGGGGACTTTATGTATAATGAAATCTTTGCATTTTTATAAAAAGAATGTATATATGTATATTTATATAATTAAGAATAATAAATATTTTTCTCAAGTGCCTCAAAAACGGAAATATTTTTGATCTACCAAATGGTTTCCTAGTGCTTCTAGGATAAGGTTCACACTCCGCATAGATGACGAGGATCTTTAAACCTAGCCCCAGCCTATTTGCTACCTTCCTTACCCATTATCTCGCATGCATATTACACTCCTGCATTTTAAAACCGTTTGCAGATCCCTGAATACACAATGCCTGTGGTAGGGAAAACAATGGCTCTCCAAAGATGTCTACACCCTAATCCTCAGAACCTGTGGCTTTGTTTTACATTGCAAAGGAGAATTAAGGTTGCATCAGCTAATCAGTTGACGT